CCCCAAAACCCCAAAACCCCAAAACCCCAAAACCCCATTGTATAAAAGAACTAAGCTCCTTGCAATTAAAAGAAATAAAATTTATCATTATTATTAAGGTTGAATATTTATCAGCTACCATCACCTGACCTGAGATAACCCTCTTCTTGATAAGTTCCTCTTTCAATAGATAGCAGTTATTGACTTCTTTATTTGGGATCGAAATTGTTCTCCTCACCATAGCTACTATTTTCATCTTCTGGCTATTCATAAATTGTATTTCTTTGCTACTACTATTAATTGGAAAAATCTTAGAATTAGTTATCCTCTTGCTATGATTGACTTTATTAGGAATCATTGTTTCTGTTTATCTTATTATTGATACCATTAGTGTAGCAAAAATAAGAAGTGAGTATGATGTTTTAAATTATCTCGTCAATGTAAAAGAAGTAGTGGTCATCTGGTGATATTGCTTCCCAGATATAAACATCATTTTAAACGGAGCTAGACTCAACTCTCAAATCAATGTAGAATCCCATTCTTAATGCAAGTGATAAAATGTAGATAGCAAAGAACAAATGGAACGTAACCTTGTTTTTCTAATATGTATCTGATATGGCCTGATCAAAAGCCTTAGGGTAGGAGCATATGTCAACTCTATTTTCTGCAGTTTCTCTCCAGAGGAGGGACTGTCTGGCTTTATTAGTCTTTTTGAGGAAGTATCTTGTTAAAAGCACATAAAACACCACTTCAAGAATGAGCAATAAAATTTGTAACAGAAATAGAATGGAAGAGAAGACCCTAAATGAGTTAGAAGAGATTATTATTGCTTACCAGAATATAGAGAATAAAATATATCCTAGCTAATGATCTTTGGCACCAATAATAACAAAAATAGTATCACAACCTAGAGTAGTAATTGCAACCACCAGTACAGCTATCAAATACTTTTTTATTCTATTGGCTTTAATATTCATATTATCAGAATCTCTGTTAACTTCTTTGAAGAATACGTAGATTTAAGCCCTTTAATAAATTAATGGGGAAACTCAAATACCAGCAAAAGAGCACAGCATAGCTCACAATAATGTAGCAATAGTAAGGAATCTCAAAGAATATTTGCTGATAAATGTTTCCTTTCAAGTCCAATATCTCAAAAACGAAAAGATATGCAATAGTAAGGATAATTCTAACTAAAGATCATAAATATTAAACAGCCAGCATTAGTAAACTTACTTGAAACTGACACTATCAAGCTGATGAGTATTGTCATACTGAAGAGGTTTCTGTTCTCTTTTCTAAACAGAGATAAGATATGTAGGACCAAGAATAAAGAAAAAATGGGCCAAACCAAGTAATTAACTACTCGAAGGTTTGTATTTTCTGTGCCTGCCATTTAACTTTTATTGAAACTATTCTTAATTACCATGATACAACCTAATGATGATATCATGGGGTTTTGGGGTTTTGGGGTTTTGGGG